AATTATAATTACAGCAAAATGCTTTATTCAGAAGCTTTGGTCTATAAAAGTTAGTTGGGATGATCCTATCCCTTCTCACGTAGCAAAGCAGTGGTTTGAGTTTCAGAATAATTTACATTTTCTCAATAATCTCTCAATACCAAGACATGTTATTTGTAACTCTCCACTTCTACTAGAACTTCATGTATTTTCCGATGCATGTGAACAAGCGTACGGTGCTTGCGCGTATTTAAAAACGATTGATAGAAACAACTGTGTCGTTACCAAACTCTTAATAGCAAAGTCTAAAGTTGCTCCATTAAAGAAATTGACAATACCCCGTTTAGAGCTTTTAGGCGCTACCATTTCAGCAAGGTTAGTAAATAAAATTTGTAACTCAATAAATTGTAAAATAAATAATATTTTTTGTTGGTCCGATTCTACAATCGTTTTAAGATGGATCCGATTGCCATCCAATTCATTAAAACCTTTTGTAGACAATCGAGTTTCAGAAATTCAAAAACTAACAAAAGATTGTCAGTGGAGGCATGTTCCAACAAAACATAATCCTGCAGATCTTTTGTCTCGAGGATTAAACCCAAGTATTATAACCGCCTCAGAATTGTGGTGGTACGGGCCTACGTGGTTGAGGTTAAACGAAGATAATTGGCCGGTTTTGAATTTAGAATTTTCGGATTTACCTGAAATTAAAAGGTGCATGGTAAATTTGTCACCAGTTGAGTTTTTTCCGTTTGAACGATTCTCAAATTTAAACAGGATAAAAAGATGCATGGCATATATCTTACGTTTCCTAAAAAACTGTAAAATTTCAAAAAATCAACGAACTTCGGGTTTCTTAACAGTTGACGAGTTAAACTTCGCCTTTAATAGGCTTATCAAATTGTCACAAGCACAAATATTTCCAGTAGAGATACATAGGCTAAACCAGAAGAAATCTTTGAATCGTGATAGTAAAATTTTGAGTTTAAATCCATTTTTAGATGAAAACAACTTACTGCGTGTAGGTGGACGTTTACAAAACTCATTTTATTCATTTGACAAAAAACATCCTATCTTACTATTATCCAGTCATCATTTAACAAAATTAATTTTCATCTATGAACATACCAGACTATTACATCCAGGCCCACAATTACTCTCTGCACATATAAAGGAGAAATTTTGGGTTGTACGTAGTAATAACTTAGCCAGACTCATTTATCACCAGTGCGTAAAATGCGCTAAAATAAACGCGAGGTCTATTCAACCGCTTATGGGTTCTTTACCAACACCCAGAATAACGCCAAATCTACCTTTTACAATATCCGGTGTTGATTACGCTGGGCCGTTTCTGTTAAAGGACCGAAAGGGTAGAGGTGCAAAAACTTATAAATGTTGGATTTGTTTATTCGTATGCTTTAGTTCAAAAGCCGTACATTTAGAAATAGTATCTTCCTTGAGTACTAATGCCTTTATTCAATGCCTACATAGATTTATAGCTAGACGTGGATTCCCCTCTGACTTGTACTCAGACAACGGCACAAATTTTGTTGGTGCTAATAGGGAACTCACTGAATTTTACACCTTTTTATTAGAAAATTCTGAAACTATTTGTGGTTCAGTATCAAACTTAAACATTAAATTTCATTTTATTCCGGTAAATAGTCCAAATTTTGGGGGATTATGGGAAGCAGGTGTGCGCAATGTCAAACATCATTTACGTAGAGTAGTTGGTGAATGTTTATTAACCTATGAAGATTTTTATACATTCTTGGTACAAATCGAATCTGTATTAAATTCCCGTCCCCTATCTCCACTCTGTTCCGAACCTTCAGACCTCTCAGCTTTGACGCCAGCTCATTTTTTAATTGGGAGATCACTCCACGCTATCCCAGAGACCGACCTGAAGGGAATTCCTGATAATCGGCTGAGTTTGTATCAGCACATAAAGAAAATGCAACAACATTTTTGGGATAGATGGAGCAAGGAGTATATTAGTCAATTACAAACTCGCTCTAAATGGAAAACCAAGAATGGTCAAGTCCTGCAAGTAGGACAACTTGTGGTAATAAAAGAAGACAACATGCCTGTATTACAATGGTGTCTTGGTCGTGTTACGGAGCTTAAATTTGGAACCGATGGCATCTCTCGAATTGCAATTGTCAAGACTGCAAAGGGTGTCACTAAAAGAGCCATTTCCAGAATATGTCCACTGCCTGTATTTTCAATTGAAAGTTAAAGACTTTCAAGGCCGGGAGTATGTTAAGTTTTGCTTGTTGATGGACGAGCCGACGAGCCGCCACTGTTTCTATGTTACTATAGATATAAGTTGAATGAAATGTTAATTATAAATTAATGTCAATTCAAGATACATATTTGTCACCCATTATATAAAATAAACGGTTTCCTCTGAATTCACTTCTTTAAAAGTAACCAGCGCCCTTCACGCGCAACCACCTTTTTCGTTATTACACCGATCTTACCAGCCATACTCTCTTTGGTTCTCTTTCTTCTATGCTTTCTATGGTCGACTCTACTCTTAGCTCTTCTCTTGTTATCTCATTTATAATTCTGTCCCTTCATGTAACTCCTTTAACAATTCTCATCTCCACCGCTTGTATTTTACTTTTCGTTTGTTTATTTAAAATCCAACTTTCACAAGCATATGTTAAAATGGGTTTGAATACTGTATTAAATAGTTATTTTGGTTATCTTTAAAATTTCCTTCTTTCATGCACAATATAATTTTGTTCTCTGCATCTTCTTTTAATGCTTTTACTTGTTCAATGTTATGACTTTAGTTCACATACTTTGATTTTCTTTTACTATACGGAGAATGGTCGCACTGCGCAGCTTTCTGAGTGCCTTTTAAAAGGAGATAGAAACTCCGCCATTTTGAACCCTTATTACGTGTTGCCTACATCTTGGCGCAATATTTTTAATAGGTGCGTTTTAATCATCCGCTTCTGCTTCGGAATTGTCGGTTTTCTTGTTTTAATCTAACAGGTTTTAAACGACTAAACTGACAATTCCGGAAGCAGAAGCGGATGATTAAAACGCACCTGATATTTTGCTTGCTGCTGTCAGTGTCAGTGAATATTATTTTTGAAGTCACAGTTTATTGCTAAAGAATCAGTTAGCTCACTCGGACCAGTTGAAAGTTCCAAAATAACATCCACTCCAGGGATACAAATTCAGGATACGCAGAAGACTGCTGTTTTATTATAGGCGGTTGTCATATATTGTATTATCCGAGTTGCACAGTGTATAAACTGAAACATTGAGTGAGATCCAAAGTGCCGACACAGAGTGAGCGATCTGATTCTTTAGCTGTAAACTGTGTCACAGGGTTCAAAATGGCCGCGCCCTATGTTGGGCGTGTCGGACCTCTCTCTTGCCTCGTATAGTAATCAAAGTATGTGCTTTAGTTTAATCGACGTTAATTCTCATGTTTCTCTCTTTTAAATCTGCTTTCAAATGTTCAAATTTATTTGTAGATCTTTTTCATTTCTTGCATATATGACCAAGTCACCAGTGAAAGCATTTTCGATAATTTGCACTACCTTCATGTTTTGATAGCCTAATTGAAGATTCTTTATTTTCCTTTTGGTTTCTTTTAATACATCATCGAGTACTATATTAAACATTGTAAGGCCAAGTACACATCATGAAAATTTATTCTGATTGCATATTATTTTTTCTCACGTTGTTTCTGGTGTTACTGTATGTGCTGGCAATTGTGTTTCACAGTTTACCGTTTATTTTTCTTTTTCTAAGGCTTTTCCTTATCAGATCTCGTAGTAAACTGTTAAAGGCTTTCTCGGTATCTATAAAAAAGCGTCATAGTAGCCTTCTCTATGTTCTTTATTATCAGCTTTTCTCAAGGTGAATATATTATCTTGTACCTACCATTTCTTTCTGTCGTTATTTTGTCTTCTATAATCTCACTATTTTATTTGCCTTGAATGAATAGAATTTCTTCATTTTCTTTGTTGTATCCATTATTTCTATATTGAGTAATTCCTTAAAATATTCTTTCCATCACAACATTAGGTATGTCTTTCTCATCTTGTATTATTTTTACTTCTTTTGACTTAATACAGTTGTTTCTATTGTTTGCATCTTCCTAGATTTTTTAGTATTTTAAAAAACATTTTTCGATTTTACATTGCTTCTTTAAACTCTCGCCATGACTCTTTTTACTGATTTTATTAGCTCTTTGACTTTTATTCTTTCTGCTATAAGTTAAATTACTCTTCATACCACTACTTCGTTTGCTTTTCATATTTGTTGACCAATTATTAATTTGTATTAAAACTAAGGATTATTTTTCATTACATTTATTTTGGATTATGGATTATGTTTGAAATACGAACCTTGCGGTTAAAAAGCATTATTTTCCAAGAATAATAGCATTTTATAAACTCTTAATATTTTTTTTGTGTCATCGGCATCAATTATTTTGGTTATTAGCTTTATGTTCTGTGGAGACTTTGTTAATATTTTCCCAGCGATACTTTAGGAACTGCACTGTCAAATAGAACTCAACAGTGAATGGTCGAAAAAGGAATCCTGCCTATGCATTAGAATTAATATTTAATTCGTTAAATTAAAATAAAAATCCTGTCACCAGCCCTTCGATCTCAAAATCACGACTCTATAACCACTGAGCCAACCTACCCCTACTTATAATATTAAACAAAATTTTACAATATATAAATAAAATAACAAAACTTTGTTAATTAATTAAACAACGAACCATATGTTGCTGCTTAGTTACAATACTCGAGTTCGTCGCCCAGCTTCGTTGTTTTCTAGTGTTTAATTTATGTTGAAGTAAATAATTAAACTTAGATGTTCTTATTAAACATTATGTTTCTATTATTACTGTATTTTTGACAGTTTTCCATACATTTATTTAGTTTCATATTATCTATACTTTCTTTAATTTTATTCAGTTTTGTATAAATGAAATGTAAACATTTATTTTCTTCCATCACTTACATATTGGAAACTATTAGATTACAGGATAGCCTGGAGCTAGTCCTGGACCAAGAACCCGTTCCAGAACTCGTAGAAGGTAAAGAACCCATTCCGGAAATTGTCCAGCCGCCGGCGCCGGTGTTATACGAATTCCACGAAAACCACGGCAGAAACATAGAACTGATCAATAATAAAACCGGAGCTAGGCGAGTCGCTTCCTACAATCAAGGGATTACGATCGTTCAAAAACCTTTGGAACCTAATTCGAAGGTATATTACCAGCGAAATATTGTTAAAAAATGCTTCTAAGCTATTTTTACCGTTTGTTTTAGGTGGAAATAGTGGTCGATGAATTGGAAAGTCGTTGGAAATCCTCACTAATCGTAGGCGTAATATCCGGAGTTCCCGAAAGACTGAATCTACCTGTCAACGCTTTGGCTCTAAAAGCGCCCAGTTGCATCGTAGCTAGCGATTGGCTAGCTATAAACGGCATAAAAGTGAGTTTTGCTTTCAGTACATTCAATCTACTTCGCTTCTTATATCGTGTACACCAATTTCTAATTGTTTTAAAGCAAAAAAAACTGGTAAACAATAATTTCATTTGTTTTAAGTCTTGTTCGAACTACGGGCTTAAATTGGACAATGTGAGCGTCGGAGACCACGTGGAAATTATACTTACAGAAGCGAAATGCTTTCAATTATCAATTAATGGCGTCGAAGAAGAACCGTTGGCTTTAAATTTTCCAAATGGATCACCCATCTACGCCGTTTTTGATCTTTACGGGCAGTGCCAACAGGTACGTTATCGTTGACAGTTCTACTTTAGTCATAAGAACTGAATGTGACAATTGACATTACTGACAGCTCTAGTTTTGATATGTGTGACATTTGACTGAGCTGGATGTGACAATTGACAGGTAATTATGTAAATGTGTTGTAGATTCGGATTTTGAACAATTCCGTTCAAGAAGAACAGCCGGAAATTAAAAAGAGCGCAGATTGTGAAAAGGCCGATTTGGAATCTTGTGAAAAGGAACGTTCCGAAACTAAATTAAGTTTACCCATACCGTCTGCTAGTACAAGTCTGATTAGTACGCCTGTTGTAAAGAATACTCATATAAGTTCGCCGTTAAAATCTTGCCAGTACAAGGAGGAGGTCGAGAAGTTCAAAAGGAAGATATTATTACCAGGTTAAATAGTTTAGAGATTATTTCGCGTATTCTTATTATAGTATTAATGTTTTGTTTTAGACCAGTATTTCAGTCCGGAAGAGCCGATATGTTACTGTCAATACTGTCATCGTGCGAGAATTACTGAAGAAAAAGAAAATCTTCTAGGTGAGCAGCCGATTTTGATTTGATTTTTTAAATATTGTGTTCTTATGTTGTTTTTTAGGATGGGTAAAATTTCCGTTATGTATTTCTGAAAATATGGTGACGGATAAATGGCATACGGCCTTTTACTTATGTAAACTTGGCGCTGTACGTTGCATTTTAGACAAAGGACAACCTCTAACTAAAGGTATAGTTTATTTAAATAAATTTATAATTATGCAAATATATAAAATCAACTCTAAAATAAAACACTAACAACAAACAATATAATTGAGGATATGGTTATATTTTGATTTTGTTTAAATTCTGACACAAACTGTGAATGGTTGTGAATTGAATTCTCTCGTCATTTCCCTTTTCTCTCCCTAAACTAGGAGAAAGTTTTGAGAAAATTCTCTACCAATTTTGAATTCAAACTACTGTCAGCTCTCCGGTCGAGTGAACTTGGCCTACGGCGAGCTTATTCACTGAAGGTCCGCTCCTTTGTTCTACTGTCAATTTCTTATTATATATTAAAATGTACGAGCATATATGTTGTTGTTTGAGAGAGTAAAAATCATTTAAGTACCTTGACAAATTTTCGACAACCCACGTCTTTTTTAAATTCAGCCACAGGAGTATTCAGCATAATGATGTGAATCCATCAGTACAATAAATGTATCTCAATTCGCAATGCATTGGCTGACACTCGTTTGAAAAAGGTTATGTTTCAAGTGACGTGCACCGTTTCAGCTTTAAAAGGCATAACACATGTTTCGAATAATAGACCGTTAGATAGTCACAGGTTTAGGTGCCCCATTTTGGCATACAAGCCTCGAACAGGGTTGAAAAGTACATCGATTTTAAGTAGAATGGAAGGAAATTTACGAGTGGCTCCTGGAGATAACACATGGAAAATTCGATTTCCCCTAACAAAAATGAAAGGTTATTTGTTGCCCATATTTCCTCGCAAGCCGTTTTCACTATATGATTAATTAATAGAACTATGCTTCGGAAAACCAAAGGCTTTAATGTTGCAAGTGGCTAAAGGCAACAAGAGTAGATATGATGGCCATATCGCACGAAGACGAAATTAGGGCACGACGCCGTATGCGTAATGTTCAAGAGTCTGAGTGCGATATGGACAATCCATTCGAGTTGTACAGTATATTTTTTTAACGACCCACTAACGGAAATCTACAAATTAAAAAAATATTTTAGACAAAATAACTAATTTTAAAATAATTTATGAATATTACTGATTTTTAAAATAAAATAAATATGAAAAAAAAAATAGTCGCCAGCCGAGAATCCATCCCCGGCTTTTCGCGTGGAAGTCAAGCACTATATCCATGCCTCTACGTTCACTTTTATAATTTTGGTTTTAATACTCGTAATTAAAATAGTTTGATTAATATTAATATTTTTTTTTTTTTTTTTTCAAAATATGGTTCAAATAAAAATAGAAATGCTATTATTTACGATTATTTATCGATTCTACACAAAAATAACTCATTTTAATGTATATTTAATCTTAATAATTAAAAAATATACTATTAGTTTGACAGGATTGTCACTTATTTAAAATTTTAAAAATAATAGTAGTTGGGTGTCCAAAATGTGAACTGTGATTGGTGGATTTCATTTTTTTGCAGTGTTTTCACTACCTAGAATGGATATGAAATATATTCGTTCAGTTGAACACAATGACATACTTTTTCGTTCTGTAGTCTGTGCGTAGATAAGCTAATATCCATGTTGGTGTAGAAAAATAGTATATTATGCAACGATCATGTAATGATGGTTATTAATACACGAGCATTAACCGGGATACGAAACGAGCCAAAGGCGAGTTTCGTATGGTTTATGCGAGTGTTTTAATAACCATTACATGAGAGTTGCATACGCTATTTTTTCTACACCCGATAAATAATCAAGACCTATAAATATTCTATTTATATTGGCATTGAACACAATAACAGTAATTACTCGTATTTCTATAAAAAATTCTACAAAATTGTAATTAATGGTATTACCTTGGGTATTGGTATTACCACAGATTTTTGGGGCAAAATATTTTGTACTGCATTTTCTCCTTTCTCCGATATGTGTGGAGGAGTCTTCTATATCGCTGATATCAGACATTTTAATATTATAATTATCGAAGTTTAGCTATCTACGAAAATTTAATACGTTTTGACAACTAAAACAATTACATAGGAATTTAGGACAAACGTCAAACATCATGCTTGATTGAAAAATTGTAGGTTTCTATTGATTAAAAATCTGTATCATAATGAAAAATCTGTATCATAATGGGTATCATTATGAAACGGATTATGGGCATATAAGTGCATTATTATAATACGGGTGTAGAAAAACATATTTTCTTGAATGACACGAATGTATAAGTGCATTTTGTGGTTGGAAAATTTTTTTGATAAGGAAAATCGAATTTTCCATGTGTTATCCCCAAGAGCCACTTGTAAATTTTGTTTTATTCTACTCAACATCATCGATGTACTTTTCAACCCTCTTCAAGACTTGTATACAAAAATGAGGCACCTAAATCGGTCACTATCTGACGGTCTATAATATATAGCATATTAAAAGATTGTAGCAATAAAAATATATATGATTTTTTTATTGTACCATGGTTGTATCTTACTTATTGCCTTATTCTGTGAAGCGTCATGTTAATTGGCAAGGTGGTATCTCAATCAAACTCAACTTATTCATGATTTATAAAATTTAAACATTCATTATCTAATAAGTAACCTCCACTGTGTTTTAATTATCATATTTGTTAACTGAGAGTATTATACAGTTTCTCCACAACTATTAAAAAAAAAACTATTTTTAGTTTTTCGACTCCTGAAAATCACTAAAATTGAGTTACAACCGTTTTCGGTGGAGGTGTCGAAATAACGGGTTCATGGAAATATTTAGACCCGAATGTTTAATTTACATTTGAACGTTGCTTTTAATTCATAAATGAAACTATGTAATTTTTGTGGAATCTTTAGATTTTCCTCTCTTGATAATACCAATAAATTACAAATACGAATTTTTCCCAGCGAATAGAAAGTGAAAATTTTCTTTCTGTAATTCTCTCTCCCCAATTTAAAGCAAAATAATGTACGACAACCGGGATGAAATTGAAACTTCTAACATTGCACCATAGACTTTTATCTTTCCTTTTATTGCTTTATTAAAATTTATGTAGTCGAAGAATACTGACAAAAGGTGACTTACTTCTAAAAGTTATGTGTTTATTCTTTGTAGAAGGTGAAAGTAATTAATTTGACTCGAATATGAAGCTTACAAAAGTTTTTATTTCATAATTTCTTGAAGTAGTTAGTTGTACATTTCTTTTACAACCTTGTTTTTTTAATTGATCTTTTTCTCAGAAAATATTTTATCACCTATGCCAATCTCTTAACCCCTTACCGCATGTTTTTTTTATTTGCTTGAAAAAAAGATTAAAGACGGGAAATAATATATATACAGTAGGAAAAATAGAAAAAAAAAATTATTTACATTTTGAAAAGATATGGACATAAAATAAGGGTATGTGCCATCAACATGTGATTAAGACTTGCATAAAAACAATTTCGGTCTTTGTTTATACAAAAAAAAGCTTCACATTTCGCGCATTTTATAAAGCTTTTTCCAATGCATCCAGGTTACTTGCACCTTTATTTCTGATTTTGCCAATGTCCCCAGTGGTCAAGTTTATCGGTTCTAACTTCCTGAATTGGGAAATCTGTGGTTGGACCACCATGCTTTTTCCCCTGGAGCTCACCTTCAATCGGTAGTTTTGGTCGACCTTTTGGTTTAGTAAGGGACTTATTTGCTTTAGTTAGGCATTGGTTGACTTATATCCACCATAAAATAATGTTGGGTCCATCGTGTACCTAAAAACCAAATAAAAAAAATGTGTTGGTTCAGTGATATTCATGTCATAATTGCATGCTGTGCCATATATGGCACAGAGAAAATGTTGGCAATAACTAGTATCGAATATATAAAAAAACACTAACTCACCTCAAGAATCTATCACCAAAGTCACACTTTCAACTTACAATATTTTTTCAAAGAATAAACTTCGATAATTTCGATAATACACAACATGTCAATTTCTCAAACGATCATCAGGTGTTATGCGCCATTAAAAAATTGTATTGTAACTTTCGAATTTATCCACTAGATATCGCCCCATGCTATTGTACCCATGCTATGGTTTATCAAAGTAATGACCTGTGCGTCACAGAGTGTGTTTATAAATACAGACAATTTATAAATAGGCTAAACACGCTTTGTGCCATAAATGGGCCAGTATGCGGTAAGGGGTTAACCTCATAGGTAGTGAACCGTTGAAAATATCCTTTGTGAAATAATATTTTAAAATAGTTTTACCTCTTGGTACAGAAAACGTTGATGTTAATAAGCCGCGCCTTTGTCCTATGTGGACCAATGAATCCAAGTAGCGTGGTTTTGCTGATATAATGCACTGACACCTGTCGGAAATTTAATTTCTTGCACCTGGTGCGACTGTTTTTTATAATATCTTGTTTCGAAGAACGCGTGCCTATGCAGATGCATATTACAGTTCATATTTAGGGTTGAAAGCTTCACACTCTTTCACAATTAGCTGTACATTAAACCATTTTTAGGACAAGCGGAATGGTGCAACTTCACAGGCAAAAAGGCAGAAGACGTTCAGATGGTATTTTACCCATCTCTCCAAACCACACTAACGAAACCATTTAAAATCGAGAATAACAAAGCTGCGATGGCCGCTTTTCAGTTATTGGTCAAACCTGGTGCCTATTCAACATCGAGGGAATCTGACATTGTAGAATGGAATACGAAAGAAACTGGCGCTTTGGTATTGAATTCTCTGCTGTTGAGGATTCAATAAAATTTTTAGATTTCAAGTAAAAAAGGATCTCACTCAATCGATTTCATGTGATGTAATATAACATATTCTGATTAGTTATCGTCATTAACTTTGAATATTTATGTCGAAACAAATATGTACTTTTTTGTAAACCATGACGTCTGTATTTTTCTCGATAAAGGGGATACACTTTTGAAAAATGTTCGAATATGTTGGAAACAATCAAAAAGTAAGGGTTTTTTTTTAAACATTGGGAAAGCGGTATAATTAATTTATAATATATACGAGCGAGAGGAAGATTTGACATTATGCAAAAATCAGAAAAAATTCTGTTTTAGAAGAAATGTTTAAAAGTGGAGAAATTTGGTTAAATAGGAGTTTACCTTTACAAGGATTTGTAAAAGATTTACCAAAAGTTATACAGTTTTTTGGCACTAGCGTTTTTTTATTGACAAATCTAACAGTTTTATTAAAATATTTCATTTTGTTCCATAAATAATTAGCAATTCATCCTTTCGTTTATGTAATGCTATCCTCGAGGTTAATAATGTTTTAAATATGGACCTGGACTTTGTATTTTAATTTTATTAATACCAATTTTAATCTTGAATATAAGCATGCAGAGCGTGGTGTATCTTTGTAACGTTTCGAATCAATTATAACATCATCAGTACATTATTTAATTACGATGCTGAATTTAAAATTTATTAAATTGCAGCTTATGTAGGACCGATTCAAAGATTTTGAACAAATATTTAGACTGTGAGCTATACATTTTTAAGCTCTGTTAGAGTTTACCAAGCGCAAACTTTAATGAACATTGTTGCAACCGGCTGGTAAATTGCTAAGCATAATATAAAGTTAATTGGTCACATTATCGCTTTAAAACATTGCTTTAATAATACTGAATACGTAAATTTATATTTTCCCATTTTACATATCTTTCCAGTTATAGGTTCTTGTGCAATTTTTGAACTTGTACTAGTCAAAGTTTGTAAGTAGAAATTTTAATTCAATTCCATAAAGCTCGCTTTACATCTATTAATTTCTTGAAAATTGTTTTACTTTTTTTTTTAAACCTTAGCATCCAGGGCTATTCAGCCTTTAGGAACAGCATAATTAGAACCAAACAGTGAATTGTTCTGCTTCCTAATTAATATTTAATTAAATTAGAAAAAATCCTGGCCAACGGTGGTCGAATTCGAACCTCTGACCTTCTTGCATTTGTGCTAACTTTAATTTTTTTTTATTTTAGTCTGAATAATGCAAGAAATATAGTTATAGACAACTAAAAATTGTTAATTGGTAATAGAACAGTTTTGATGAATATTGGATGACATAGATGAATATTAAAAAATGCCTTTATCAGTTTCTTCATAGCTATTTCATGAAATAATTCTTAAGAAATTGTCAGATATAAAACGAGCATAACAGTTGAATTAGTATCAGAACAGTAAACAATTTCTTAATTTTTTTTTAATAATTAGGGTTTGATGAATGTACGAATCGTTACATTCTAAATAAGAATTTATGAGAGGATATACAGTAGGAAAAGATGTATTTTTGATGTCTATATAATTTCTTAAATACTATATCTACACTTAAAATTATCTTTTATATTAAAAGTTGTTATTCGTTATTTATATTTTTTTGTTTTTAATAAATCAATTTATTCAAAGTTGTATTTTATTTTTACCTCAATGGCTTTAAAGGAACTAGAGATTTGATAAATTTGTGAAGGCCGAAACAAACAAAAAAATCCGCAATTTTACTGGCTTTGTAAAGATTAAAGTAGATAAAATAAAAATGCAATAGATCTATTTCATAAATATTTAATAGCCGCAACATAATAAAATATATACATTTCAGTTTAAAAAGCAGTACAACGAATGCTGTATAAAAAAAAAAAAAAAAACTTTTTAAGTCATGATTAAGTACGTCTTTCTTAATTTAAAACTAGATGAATACAAACATGTAAAAAAGCGACTGAAATGTCCGTTTGTTTCTAAATATTTCATAAAATTTAGTAAATTTAATTTTACTAAGTATACAATAGGTTTTTGACGTTTCTTATGTCCCATGCTTTCATGAATAAAATGGCAGTTATAAAGCATTTTTTTAAACTATAAAAAAAGATGATTTTAGCAAGACACTCATATTTTTAGACCAAACGAATTGCTATCCAAAATTCTGGAGAAATTTAATCTCTCGTGAAAACCTATATCGGCACAAAACAAGCCTTTCGATCTTCAGTACCTCCACGCTTGAACTCTGGTTATTCCTGGATACTAGGGTGAGAGCACGAGGAGCCTGAAGGTCGAAAAACTATTAAAACAATCGCCGATGATGAAGACATAGCTGGAATTATACCCCACAAAAATAAATGCAAAAGAACAATATTAAAAAAATATGTAAAACAGACCGATTATAACACCTCAAAAAAGAATAATATACAGTGAGCACCATAAGTCTTACCCCCCCCTATCTAACTCGTTACTGGAGTCTTGTTAGGAAAATCGCCGAGACACGTCGATTTTTGATTTCTACAATGTACATTTTTGTATAAATAGTTACCCTTAATTTCATCCCTCACTGGAGGGGAGCAACCCTTTCGAAAAATTTAAATAGCATGGGGTGGTGAGTGATAGCTCATTTGAAGAGGGTTTTATTCTCTATTCAACCGTGTAAAAAAAATTTGAAATTTGCTTCATTAATTCTCGACTAATTGTTGTTTCAGAATAACGGAAATTAACGTAGCGCACTCATCCTTAGAATTAAAATTCGGCCCTGCATGATTTCGGTTTTGGTTCAGACGTGAAGTAAGACTTTTTGCCATTAGAAGGTCACTGTTAGTATAGTTGCTTTCCTATTTTGTGAGGTTTTGTTATTTTTAAACAATAATAAATCAACACGTAATGAAGCAAATTTCAAAATTTTTTGCACGGTTGAATAGAGAATAAAACCCCCTTTCAAATGAGCTATCACTCACCACCCCATGCCATTTAAATTTTTCGAAAGGGTTGCTGCCCTCCAGTAAGGGATGAAATTAAGGGTAAACTAATCATGCAAAAATGTACATTGTAGAAATCAAAAATCGGCGATTTTCCTAACAAGACCCCAGTAACGAGTTAGTTAGGGGGGGGGGTAAGACTTATGATGTATAATAATAATAAGAGCACTATACTTGACGCAGCAATAAAACTGCGTGATCGACATGTGTTAAGGACTGGGCCTGCGAAACCTCCTTTAACCAGGTTATAGGCCAGAAGCAGATTTTCGCAGATTATTATGGGAAATACACCATGCATATTTTTCGGTCAACGGTCACACAGAAAACGGTCCCGTTTTGAACTGAAACTTTTAATTTACTCCTCGTCTATTGTCGACGATCTTTAGATGGTAATCGGACACTCATTTTAGGCTGAAATGCATGTGATCACCACATCTCTTAGGCGCGGCGAGTATAGCCCAAAATGATTGTTAAAAATTAGGATTTACAAGTAAGCATTCAAGCTGAAACCATGAAATTCTTTGGAATTTTGAATAGCACCTCGTAAACACATAAATCTCATCTCAAAATAATTTAGGTCTATGTTTATAAACCGCAATGGGCCATGTTCACATGTGAGATATGCTGTTTTATAAACTATATTGTAATAGTTAGTCGCTATACAAGTTATTCTAAATAATCAGTTCGTTAAAAAAGCTAAAAGTTTTTAAATTAAGCCCAATTGAAATTTAAAATTTGAAATTATACGTCATCGGGAATAGACCAATCAGCTTGTGTCGAAGTTTTTTTTGTTTTACAAAACCAAGCCAACGAACAAACCTACATACAGAATGTCGAAGTGAACGCACATCTAAGTGACATTTAAAAATTGACAGCACCTAACAACTAACCTTAGTTTTTTGTTTTGGTTTAATTTTATTATTAATCTGCATTTATCTGGGTAAATTATCCTGTGGGATATAGGATATATAAAGGAAGAAGAATATGAATTTATCAGCTGTATTTATAAAAGTTGAATCAAGTATTTTTCCCATTGTAAACGAAAATATGATTACCGAGATGATTACTGCATTTTTTAACAATACTCAGTTTCCAAAAGATAGAAAGGTAAAACTTTATTTATAAATTGTTTTAATGATAGGTAGTTACAGTTTATATGAAGCAGTACACTTTATAGTAAAACATATTTATCTCAGGTTTTATTTTTAGATCTGCCAAGCAAGAATATGGAGATATTTACTTTTTCCATAAGAGAGAAGGAGACAAATTACACCTAAACATAAAGTACAGCAAAAACCTTATGATGTGGCTGTTTTTTAGTGCACAATGCTTAGGATATGTTGAATCTCAAGGTTTGTAATATTTATTATGCTTTTTTGTTTTTATATCACATATAATAAACAGTGTATAAGGCCCTTTATTCTTATAAATATTTTTTTTCTAATTTTGACATAAAGAGACATTTTTTGTAATCGCAGCAAGTGTTAAAATAATCTAGAAATAGATTTTGTTAGTGAACCTAGTAATAATTATGATACCAAAGAATGCTGCAGAGCACCTATTAAATTTTGAGTTAAAACATGCCATATTTTTAGGCTATTTTTATACCCTTTTCAAAAATTTTATGCTCCTCGTTTTATGCAAAACTTAAAATGCTCTGATAGCTTCGAACGAAGTCAGCAAAGCACCTCTGTTTTATAAAGTTTTTTCTGTAAAAACAGCAACACCATATATTTATGCACTTGAAATATTATATTTTTAAAAAATACATGGTGCTTACTAACCTTCGAAAGAAGCCAGCAGAGCAATTCGGTTTTTTAAAGCTTTTTTCTAAAAACCACACCCCATTTTTAGACTCTTGAAATATTGTAAAACTTTACTAAAAAAATTGCTATTTTTAAATAATACAGGGTGCTTTGTTGGAACAAAGTCAGCAGGACACTTCAGTTTTTTAATATATAAAAACAACTACTTATGACACATGTTTAGGCTGTTTTAAAATCCTAAAAATGTGGTAAGTATATTTGTTTTCAGAAAAAAAACTTTGAAGTCAGGGAATTGCGAATTTTTTTTAAAAATGTCAAATTTCGAATATTTTATAATATTGTAGGAGCCAAAAAATGTGGTGTGGTTTAAAAAAAAACTGGGGTGCTCTGCTGGATTCGTTTGAAGCTAACAAAGCATCCCGTAATTTTTTATTTTATAATACTCAATAGCCTAAAATGAGACATAGCTGTTTAAACAAAAATGGTACTTTTAAAAATAGCAGTTTTTTCGAGAAGCTCTATAATATTTCAAAAATGTGAAAATGTGGTGAGCTTGTTTTTTTTAAGTTTTGAAAATCAGAGGTTCTTTACTGGATTCGTTCAGAGCTAGTAAAGTGCTCGTCTTGTTACATAAAATAAGGCATTTTGTAGCTGGTTATATAGTTATTTTGTAACTGCATATCTAACCCTTTTATTTTTTTCAGGAGGTTGTAAACATGTGGCTTCATAGAAGAAGTGAGGAACCATCTGTAACATCTACTCAGTGTTATTGATAATGATGTACACTTGGCTAGATTGTTAAAGAAACCTCTTCATCCACTACAGGAAAATAAATCAGTACTTTTATATTCTTAGGATTTGTATATATTTTTTATTTGTAAATAAATTGTTTTTTTACTTCATTTTTCTCATTTTTTATTAAAAGGTTAATAAATAAAATTTTCACAGATTTTT